ATATTAGTTTTGATGAATGTATATTGTCGAAGTAGTCAAAATTAACAAGTCAAAGTAAGTAGTCTTTTATATTCCTGTCCTCTCAGAACGTTGGCGATCATGTCTCTATACGTCTTCCTGTCATCCGTATCTCTCGGCTATCTTTTTAATATCGCTTTCGCTCGCTGTTCTGTCATCAGTTTACAGAAAACCGTAAGGTGGGTTACTCATTGTTAGCCTCTTGGCTTCAATATTCCCTATGTATGTAAAATTCTTCAACCGTCCTTTCCTAATTTTGGGACCTCAAAATTCCAACTGACCCTTTCTGATTCTATGTATAAGTGTCTATTTTGTTTCCATTTTTTCTGAGAATATGTTCCGACCATGGTATTATCAGCGTCTTTCTGTTGCCTTAATTCTCATCTTCATCTGCGAGGAAACTGTCCTAGAATCCCTGCCATGTAGAAAGATTGACAGTACGTAGTAAATCGTCGTTCTTTTCTTCTCAAATCTTCGCTTCTGTTTCTTGATCCGTTGTTTTGCTTTTCGAAGACACCTTTTGTTATTCCTTTGCTCGGATTTCGGTGTCATATTGTCTGTCCATTACATTCACTTACGTGCTAGTGCCCTTGGGAAAGGTATGAATCCACTTCTTTTCACCCCAGCTATGGGTAAATAGCAGGACAGACAGGAATCTAGAGCCTTAGATGGCAACTGGTCTACCGCAAAAAGAAATGGCAACCTACTGCGGAGAAAATTCTGTCTCGTCAGTCATGTATCGAAAGATGCATGATCGCCTAAGCGTGTATCACGCATGGCACATTACTGGAGCTATGGATAGCGGCTCGGATTGAGAAATCGGAGAGCCGAGTTCGAATTCCAGTCGAATCCCTTACATTCACTTAGGTACTAATACGCTTGGGGAAGGTATGAATCCTTTTCTTACCCACAGCTAGAGTTAAATAGCAGGAGAGACCGGGTTCTATAGCCTTGGATGGCAACTGGTCTACCGCAGAAAGAAATGGCAACTTACTGCGGGTAAAATCTGCCAGTCATGCATTGAAATATACATGATCGCCTAAGCGTGTATCACCCATGGCAGATTACTGACTGATTGTCTGTCCTCTGTTAAATCGCTTGATATCTATTTAAACTTCTGTACTTGTTTGATTTTTGACATTTCTAAATCGTTGTTCGTATGTAGCGTTTTCTCCTTCTTTCTTGAGATCAAGTGGTGTGTAATATCAGAAAAAGTATTTGACACTCAAAGGACATATCAAAAGCAAACTCGAATGAGGGCAGCGACCTGCTAACATGATGAGGTTATGGGAATGAATGCTGGAACGGGGATCCGGGGTATGGTAAAAAGACACACATTACTAAGAGCTTTTCTTCTTTTTTTTACAATAACCTTAACCCTGTACAATGCTCAACACCCATTCGAGGGTTACAGAGTAAGATGTAACAAATTGCGAAGAAGATCGCTCATGTCCTAAAGAGACCCGACATAAACAAGAAGAAGATGGAGATAAACCTATGAACTTGTCTGAAGGAGAGATATTAATTTGCACGAAAGGGAAATGAAAAGAAAAACAGAAAAAAAGGAAAGAAATAGAAAAGAACAAACATGCAGTTTCCTAAAACGAAAAGATCAACAAATATTTCATCATACAATAAAAATTTCAGATTAAAGGTAAGACAATAACTATGTCAATCTAAGTATTATTGATCCAACCTCACAAGAGAAAGAACGAAAAAAGGAGGGAAATAGAAATGTTTATGAGCCGTAAATCCTCTACCAAGTGTTCCAAGAACTAGGACTCAAGATAAACCTTCCCAAATCTGAAACTATTTAATTGAAACTGATGACACCTAACCTGAGGATATTTGCCAACCACCCCACGCGGTCAGATGTGGAACAAGGCCGAATTTAACGTGGGGTATATTTATGTAGGCTCTGGTAAAATTTCATAGACCCCGTAAAAACAGGGTTGGTCGGGTCTAAATCTACCGCCCCAGACGAGACTCTGCCCTTCGACATAGCTCCCGTCTGGGTTCCTCTCTGTCGAAGGCAGTGAGTTCAACCGTATAGCTGATAAGATTCCAACGAGACACGTAACCTGAGTTTATCATAAAAAAAAAACAAGATGTAGAATTACTAAATATTTCAAATGCCTCAGTTATAAGGAATTTAGTATGGAAGATAAGCAAAATGAGGCTTCGCGCGGGATAGTTTCCCACAATACCGTAAGTTGCTACAAAACACAAAATAACATAAAATCTCGTGTAATGTTCTGAAATGTTCACACCAAAAGCAAGACGCTAATCAGGTGCCTGCGGACATTTTACAATAATTGAAGTGAAATATGTGCAGAAGTTCGTCTCTGAAACCAACTAAAGTCGCATAGGTCAAGAGGAAATCAAGTAGACTTGCAAGAAAGTTTTGCTACCACGTTCACCATAGCAGTGAGGCTGACCTGAAGAGTAATATATTGGATACACTCTCGTGCGATGATAGCGT